TCTCACTAACACTAGTGTTCACAGCCCATCTCCACACTAATACACACTGATCTCTCACTAACACTAGTGTTCACAGCCTGTCCCCACACTAATTCAGCAGCTAACTCACTAACTCAAATCCTGGTGCACAGCTGGAGAAATAAAATATATAATTTCCAGGGGCTTTAAAACCAGTTTCCCCATTTTGGGTGTAATCTGCAGAGATACCCTGGGGCTCAAACTATACGAAATGTACTTGTCTTTGGGCCTCACACTCTTCATGAGAGGTTTATGGTCAGAATCTGCAGCAATTTCCCTCCAAAACGCTTCCCCAGTGATAGACTCGCCGGTAATCACGAGTGGGTCCGAGATAGCTTTTCTCGTCAGATACTTTATAACGGTGGATCCGTCACAAAGACCAGTCGTTTTTTTAAAAAGAAACCCAACATATCGCATTGCTGATTATAAACAGAGACAGTTTTGAATGTCATATGTCTGAAACAGTGACGGAAAAAACTAAACAGGTAAGCGTAACCCTAGATCGGCCAACTGCATCCCAGAGCCGGCAGACGCTCCCTCGGCGGGAAGAATTATGCAGGAAACGCCGAGGCTTGTAGGCCTCAACCAGGAGATACGACACACAGCGCCACACAGACAAAGTAAGAGGACGCCGGAAAGAGCTCCGCAGCCCATGCAGACATACCCACATAATGCCGGACAATCCTACAGGCAGCGGAAGCCTGAAAGGCGATTTTTGGAGAAGCAACGTACCTGAAATCGGAACATGAACCCGCACCGCTCCTGACGCCGCTGCTCACGCCGGGCCGCGCGCACGAACGCACAGCTGCGTCCGGCGCGCTCATGCTGCCGTGTTGTCGAGCGCGAGCACTAACAGTCGGATTGGGCGAGAAAGCGCGTGCCCGTCGCTACTTCCCAAATGGCAGTTCTAATTATCTGACAGAAACGTTGTATATATGTTATAATACAAGGAGAGATAAAGAACTGAGATATTCAACACACCACTGCCATTCATAAGGCTCCATAATGATCAATTATCAATAATAAGGAGCACATTTAATTTATAGGGTGTCTTTCATGGTTCAGCACCTCAAGACACTATACAATTAGACAGGTGAGCACAAATTTAAACAAGTTAACAGTAAGTGAAACAGAACTAAAACCTAGAGCACAACAGTGAGTTTCAAGGCAGGCTGTGGACGCTGCTGACAAGGCTGTAAGATCTGACATGAGCTGGGAGATCTTTCTTCAGTCTTGTGTCCAGTTTCTTCCAGAGTCTCTCAGTGTGTCTCAGAGTCCACCATGTCTCCTCGTGTCTCCAGTCTTTCCCAGGGCCTCCACTCCCAGCATCTACCTGGGTCACCAAGTTATTCAATGGCTTCCCAAATCTCTCAGTTCCTCCAGTCTCTCCCTGTGTCTCCAGTCTCTCCCAGTGCCTCCAGAGTCTCTAGTATTTCCCAGAGTCTCTAAAATGTCCCAGAGTCTCCAGTCTCCAGAGTCTCCAGTCTCTCCCAGTGCCTCTAGTATCTCCAAGCGTCTCCAGTCTTTCTCAGTGTCTCCCAGTCTCTCCAGTCTTTCCCAGTCACCCAGTGTCTCTGGTCTCTCCCAGTGTCTCCCAGAGTCTCCCACGGTCTCTGGTCTCTCTAAGTGTGTCCCAGAGTCTCCCAGTGTCTATAGTCTTTCCCAGTGTCTCCAGTCTCTCCCAGTGTCTATAGTCTTTCCCAGTCTTTCCAGTCTTTCCCAGAGTCTCCCAGTGTCTCTAGTCTCTCCCTGTGTCTCCCAGAGTCTCCCAGTGTCTCCAGTGTCTCCAGTGACTCCCAGAGTCTCCCAGTGTCTCCAGTCTCTCCTAGAGTCTCCCAGTGTCTCTAGTCTCTCCCAGTGTCTCCCAGAGTCTCCCAGTGTCTCCCAGAGTCTTGTAGGGTCACAGTCCAGCAGACCTTTCAGTAGTTGTGTGTTAGACCAGTGGTGAAGACTGTTGTGTGGTTTGACCATGAATTCAGGTATTTCATGAGATCAGTATTAGTTACTGTGGCCTATGTCCATGCACTGTGCTTGGGAGTGGTCAGCATTAGGGATCTAGTAGGCAGAGCTGGAAGTCAGGTGGTTTTCTTTATTCTATTTCAGATCGTTACATGTTAGCTTTGTGTCTTGTGTCTTGTGTTTTTAGTTCTGTGTATTCAATGCTCACATTTAAGTAATTTCCTTTAAATTTCCTTTGGGGCAGAGTGGTGGCTCTGTGGCTAAGGCTCTGTGTCTGTAGCTGGAAGGGTGCTGGTTCAAGTCCTGCAGCTGGCAGAGGAATCCTACTCTGTTGGGCCCCTGAGCAAGGCCCTTAACCCCAACTGCTCCAGCAGTGCTGTACAATAGCTGACCCTGCACTCTGATCCCAAGCTTCTCTCCCTCTGTGTCTGTGTGTCTCATGGAGAGCAAGCTGGGGTATGTGAAAAGACAAATTCCTAATGCAAGAAATTGTAAATGGTTAATAAACTGATGTTATTATTATATTATTAATTTTCTTCACAGATTGTACTTGTGGCTTCTGTGCTTTAGGCTTGTGTACACACACATTTTGGGTTTTATATTCAACATTTAATCAATAACAATTTACAGTGCATTAGGAGCAGTGTGTAAATCAGAGCAGACATACAGAGTACAAATGCAGAAGAGAGGAACATTATAATTGTTACATGTAAAGAAAACAAGAAAACAAACAGGCTACAAGCACGAGGAGGGCACTCAGCCCATCTAGCCTGCTTGGAAGCAAGTAGTTCATTGATCCAAGTACCTCACCCAGCTGTTTCTTGAAGAAAAACAAAACACAGTTTCATCTTCAGCAACACGGCTGTGCAGCTTGTTCTACACTCCCACCTCTCCTTGAGAAAAAAAACCTCTCCTGATCTCAGTTTCAAAAGCACTTCCACGTACTTTTCATTTGTGTCCTCTGGTTTGTGTTTCAGTGTTGATTCTGAAGAAGTCCAGTGGATTCAGATTGTCTGAGTCTTTGGGGATTTTGAATCCTTGGGTCAGATCAACTTGTAAGTCTTCTCTGTTCCATACTGAAGCGACTCAGTTCCTTCAGCCTGTCATTGTGGGACACTTCCTTCAGGCTAAAGAGACTCAGTCCCTTCAATCTGTCATCGTTGGGACACTCCTTTCAGACTAAAGAGACTCAGTTTCTCTAACCTGTCAGTGAGGGAGACTCCTTTGAGTCCGGGCCTGACAGAGATGGACAGGAGATGAGAGAAGAGGAAAGTACCCGGGGGTACAGTTGTGTGTGCTGGTTAATTAAAATGGCCTCATGGCCAGTGTCAGAAAAAAATGATTTTTCATTTGATCTTTATTTTATTCAACCCCAGACAGCGTCACAATAAAGAAGTGTGCTGTTTTTTACAGAGTGTTTCTGATCCCAGACTGGGAGAAGGGCTTTGATCTCCAGGCTGCAGGCTCCTCTTTCCTTTCCTGAGAGAAAGGAGAAAGGAAGGATTGCTCTCAGAATACTAACACATTCTTACTTGTATAACTTCTATCATATAAAATACAAGAAAGTGCATTCTAGATGATGTTTCTGTCAACACTTCATCATCATCACCACCAACACCATAATGTCCATCCCCATCACCTCTATCATAATCTCTTTCATCGCCATCATCTTTCCCTTCACCGTAATCCAAAATCTTCTTTCTTATAATCATCTTCATCATCCCCATTATTGTAATCTTCATTTTAATCACCCTAACACCCATCATTACCATTGTCATCTTTTCCATAATCATCTCCATCATAACCATCATCATCATCCCCATAATCATCACAAGTATCATCATCATCTTCATTCCCATAATGACCATGATCACCATCACCATAATCACGATCATCCCTAGCATAATCACCCCCATTACTATCATCATCACCATCATCATCATCACCCCTATCAACGTCATCACCATCATCACCACCCCATCATCATTGTCATCATCACCATCATCATGACCTTCATCACATCATCATCATCACTATCACTATAACATCCAGCATCACCGTCATCTCCCCTATCAACATCACCACCATCATCATCGTGACCTTCATCACCATCATCACCACCATCATCATTACCATCACCATCCCATCATCCTGACCTTCATCCCCATTATCTTCATTATCCTCATTACCACCATCAGCATCATCCTCATCATTTTCATCCCCACTACCATCATCACCACCATCTTCCCCATCATTATCATCATTCCCATCCCTTCCTATCATCAGTTAGGGGGATGGAGGCTCTTCAAGAGGGCTTTGTGCTGTTGACTTATGGAGAAGCACAACTAGATTGGCTTTCTAGCATGTTGGATGTTGAAACATCGAGAAATGGAAAATACAGGCACAGATACCAGCTGCTATCTTCCCAGCAGTCACTGAGAGCACAGTTCCCAGCCTTCCCAGCTTTGTTATTCCCATAATGTTAAAAATACAGTTTCTGTTTCTTTTGGATGTGGTATATCTCCCTTCTCCTCTTTCAGTAATCCAGATGAACAGGACCTTTTTCTGCCTGTTTGTGTGCCTGTC